GTCATTCCAGGTATTTTGTCTGGGATTTCTCGTAAGGCCGCATTAGATGGGAGAAGTAATTTTAGCAGTAAACTTTTCTCCTCCAAAATAAACAATCGTCCATCCTCCACTGTGCCACAATTCATCAATATTGCTGCAATCATTGTGTAGAAATAATTATGCAAATTTATTTCCTCCCTAACAGGAAGAAGCCATCGAATGAAATTTAAAAAATTATAAAATAAAAGCTCTCGAAGTGATTAATCATTAAGCATTAAATAATACCAATAAATCAGTTTTGTGTGAAATGAACATACATTTGTTTACTTTTGTTGTCGCTATTAATCGACCATCTTCCCATAACTCATCAGCTTTATAATCTGTGATAATCTCCGCAGCTGAAATTAATTCTTATTTTCTCTACCACAAAAGTAATGTCAGTGGTATTCGAACTGGTGAAATTGCCACTAAAATTACTTCTGCCATCAAATGCTGTTTTACGAGAAATCCTCCCAAATAAAATAACTGAAATGACGCAAAATAAAATATACACATAGCTAATTTGTATTTTCTTTTTTGGTTAGCAAATTAAGTAATAAAAAAGTGAGATGCATACCTACTGCTCCAAGTCCCGCTGCATCTGCCCGCGCAGGTGGTGCTACATTTCTAGCTGGATTTTGGTTGGCAGCTTGGCAATAAATGGCGAAAGCAATATATACTATTAACCTTGCCATATTTAAAGTTATCTGTGCTATAATTTCGATGTTTTCTAAAGATAATTTTTACTTTATTGAGAAATAGCAGCCATTTTAAAAAGAATCTTAGTTAAACGCTTAATGACATTTTCTAAAATATTAGAAATGGGAAGTCAACAAGTAGTAGAAATTTGAAAAGTTTCACATTTTATTAACAAATTTTTATTTTTTTTGTGGTCAATAAATTTTCAAAGTGTGGACGAAGCGATTATATTTCCGCTTGTTATTACTCTATATTTGCGTCTTATTAACCGACAGGTGGATTACCACCTAATTAATTAATACTCTCAGAAATCGTTTCAACCAAAAAATGGTACACATATCTTCTGGAACCTATTGTTGTTGGCAAAATAATATCAAATCCATTTCATGACATTCACAAAAATAGCATTCGTAAAATACTTCTAAAGTTTAACATTTAAATCAGCTCTCATTTTATATGACATAATAATGATCAGGTAAATATCATCCGGCAAGTTGCCAGGATAAGTACTCGGCATGTTAATCTTGCAATTCATTGTATTACAGCAAATTTAAACAATGCATCCTTCAGAGAGACTAAGTTCTGAAGCAGTGTCGAGAAAGATTAACATTAGCGCACAAAAATCTTCACTGATAAACGCAATATCACTAAAAGAAAAAAAAGAAATGCGGAATCATTAACGGTTGAAAACCTGACAACAGCACTTTTATCCTTGCACAGCGGAATCTTGGAGTTTATCCTTCTCGATA